AATCCTCCACAGGAAACTTAGGATAAAAAGGGGGCTGCATCCCTCAACCACTTGAAAGACCCCATGGGAAATCGCCCATGGCCTCTCCACTTATTCCAATAAAGTTACGGGACTCCTCTGTCTCTTTTTGGGATAAAAACCTCTGCCATCAGGGATTAATTTTCCTAAGAAAATGAGCACTCATCTGGGGTCCTCATCTCACGGCAGTGAGTGGGAGCCCAAGGCACCCCTCAGCCAGCTTTGGTGATCAGTTCCCTTTGGTGGCAGCCAGTACTGGCCAATTGGTTGAGTACCCAATAGTGTCCACTCGAGACAGGCAAATAGTGGACTAGAGGGTCCATAAAGAGTCCACAGGGAAGGACCACTGAAAATATCACCAATCGGTAGGATTTTTGGAGAGCAGCCCTGAGAGGGCACCCATAGAGGGTTGCATAGGTAAAGCCAGCAACGGGTCCTGGCAAAAGGGATGATGATCCAGAAAGATCTCTGAAGAATCCCTTGAAAGAATGCTGAGATAGTTTGCACCTTCTCCCAGAGGTAATTAAAGATAATCCATGCCCAAGGAGCAATAAGGGGAGTTGAGAAGGGGTCTCAGCAACAGGGGACAGACGGTGTTGGTATGTTGGGAAACAATTGGTTGAAGTGGAAGGTAGAGGAATATGGTTAAGGCAAGTAGTAGCAGAAGGCATTTATCATCAAAATTTGCCAGCTGATTCAGCTGCAGGTTCTTTGTATCCCCAGCTTCCAGGACAGGGAAAACAAGGAAGTCAGGATGAAGTGGTGTTTATGGTGGGAAGCGGCAGGACCAGGCATGGAAGTGCGGGACTGTGAGCATGAGCTTGGGGCTCATGGGGAGGTGCAGGCCAAGACTGAGGTTGTGGGGCAGCCAGGGCTCAGCTCCAGGCAATACCTGGACAATAAATAAATAGACACTTTAATCTTGACATCTTAATCTTAATATTGTCCAGTACCTGGACAATAAATAAAAAGACACCTTAATCTTGATACTAAAATCCTCTTATAACAACTACAAAAAAACCTCTTATTCACTATAACACATAAAAACCATTTTACAAAGAAATCAATTTAATACCAAACCAAAACCTCCATACAAAAATAAACAAATATTAAAATAACTATAATCCTACAAGAAATTAAACAAACAAAAAGTCCTATACACTGAAGAAAAGAAAAACTCTATTCCCAAAAATAAAATTAATTTTTAAAATAAATAATATAAACTTTTACTTTTAAATGACTCATCTTTAAAACAATAAGTTAACATAACCCATAAACTTGTTATATGCAGTAGAGATAATTCATGCTATAGAAATAGATATATGTATGTATAAAATATTAGTAAAGTCTAAACCCATGTTTGTGAAACCACCCTGTCCAGGAACAGAGTCCTATTCACATTATAACTGATTCCCGGACAGAGTTGAGATAAAATCAAACCCTGTTATGGTATGAACAGAGTAGCCCTGAGCCATGATGTCTGCAATCCTCCTGGTCGGGACTAGAGGTATTCATATGGTAACCAGTTCCCAGACAAGCTCTGGGACTATGCCAGACCCATTAACAGATGTAGGAGACAGGCTGGAGCCATCAGAGGGGATTTCCTCTGCACCTGGAAGATATCATCTGGAATTTCCTGGGTGATGATCAACGGGACATCTCAGGAAGCCCGCAAGATCAGGTAACTGGATTTGATGGAATCTCTGCTACTCAAGAGATGGCATCATCTACTACATGTGAATAGCTCTTCCTCTTGGGCACTCAGACATTCATCTAGGCTTTAGACACTTTCTTTGTCTGTTTCTACACATGTATGGATCCAACTTTACATGCCAAGAGAGACAAAGAATTATGTGGTCAGCTCTGCCTCAGGCAGAATAAACTGTATATAAGCAGGCTGCTTGAAGCACTCGGGGTGTACCTTCCAGAGAACGCTGTCTCTCAGTCAGCGGGATCCCAAGGGCACCCAGCGGCTGCACCCGGGCTGTCTTGGCTGTAGTGGGATTTCAAATTTTCTATTTTTGTTAATTGACTGAATAAATTCTTGTTGAATTTTTCTATAAATTTGACTACCGATTTGATCTTTTATAACAAACTCAACTATTAAAAAAACTTATTAAAAAACTTCACAATTACAGATTTCCTCAGGTGGCTACTATTCATAAAAAACCCACAAAACTCCTATTTTTTCTTATCGAGGTCTCCATAATATTAACAAAAGAGTCTTCTCTCACTAAGTAAACTAAAAAAAAATATTCTAAAAATAATTTACTTAAATTTTAAATTTTACTTCTCTACATTATCAGTAAAAAAGAAAGTTACAAAAATAAGAAAAGTATTCTAAAAATTTCAGTGTAAATCTTATTACTCTTTCTTTAAATTACTATTAATAAATATTTCTTTATACCCTTTTAAAATTTTAAACCTACTTTACCTTTCTTCTAATCCTATTTCACAACAAAAACTGAATATATTAGTTGAAATAAACATGGGCAGGAGACTTTTGTCCTTTTCAATCCTTTATTAAAAGCAATTAGTTCGTGTGGGGAGAACCGATAGGTCTGCGCTCACACCGCCGCTGCTCCCAGGAGTGACTCCGAGAAGGAAAAGTGCAGCTTTGTCCACTGGTCTGTAGGCAGAGCTGGAGGCTCTGTCCTCACGAGAGCATCGGGAAATTCCCTTGCTTTTCGGTCCAACATTAGAGGTCCTCTGTCTAGCCGACATCTTTTTAGGTTAGGGTGAGGGGTAAAAAGGGTCTTGGTGGCCACTAGATTCTGTTCCTCACACCTAGACATTGCTTTGATTCATCAATTTTGTGTTGGCTCGTTATTTTAGGGGTTTTTGGCTAGGTTTTGTGAGGGGTCCCTCCCGTTGCATGCTGGATACATGATGTCATGTCGACTCGATGTCCCTTCACTGTCTGGGTGTCATCCTCCAGGAAGCAGCAGGGTGTCACTCAACAAAAAGGGGAATTCTTATCCATCAGCGACAGGTAGTTAACGAAAACGACAGGTGATTACAGTAACAAACAATTAGAACTCCACCCTGGCAGCAACTGGCCCAACCTGTTAACTCTGCAACCTTTTTTAAAAAATAGGCAGCTTTACCTACCCATAACATTAGTAATTAACCAACTACAAACCCACCACACTCTTCAATACATGCAAAAAACGCCACTCACTTTTGTTAAAATTTTAGAAGTTTAATAGTAATGAAAATAGTAATAAAAATTAGGAGAATAAGAAACAATCAAAAGCAAAGAATTACGGACGTCAGGGCGCCTGGCACTCTGCCACAAAGCACACCTTGCTAACAAAAGATTACCCGTTAAAGCAATAGCCTATTGCATATTCATGTATCTCACACATGAGTCAAGCATTCCTTTCACACTAGGGTATTTCTGCTTAATTTTAGCTTCCTCCCCCCATCTTGTAAACCAGTCTTCTTGGTTCCTCAAAGTCTGAGCTTTCCCGATAAGGAAGCAATAACTGTTCTCTTGGAATTTTGGTGTCTGTTTGCTGTTATCTCTATCCAGATAGGATAATGCGAAGGATTTCTTGATTATCTTTTCCATTCTTTGAGCTAGTTACAAAAAGCATCTTACATAGTTTCTATTTTAATATTATGCTATAGTCTAAGAACTTTTCACACTATTTAAAAGAGATTAATACAGCATAACTTTCCAACATAACACATATTCATTTTAATATTTGCAAAGAGCCAATATTATAATATGTATCTATAACAATATATTACCTAAAAAATCTCAAAATTAACAAAATCTCAAATTAGCAAACCAAAACCACTACATAAAATTAATATTTCTACCCAATTTCAAATTAAACCACTACATAGCCCTGCACTCTAAAGAACTTCTAATATGTGTTCTTGGAACAGAATTGCTCTTCTATAACAGCATAAATGAAAACTCATTATATACATGAAAATTTGAGAGAGTGAGACCAGCTTACCACATATAAGACACATACTGCATAATTACAAATCAAAAGCCAATCTGGGATTTTGACAGACAGCATTTAACTGCATACAACTATATCAAAACAAGACCAATTACAAAATAACCAGGTTGTCCTTAAAGAGTTAGGAATCTTACTACTGCCAACAGGCTCTGAAGTTATTTTCCATTAAAATCCGTAGTTGCAGACTTAGATCAGATCTTTCCCCTGCTGTGGAAGCCAAAATATATGCAGGTAACCAAGATGGCCAAAATCCATATGTGAAGTATAAAGAATAGATTTATTCCATCACCACGCTGGCAAAACTTTAGACATAGACACTGCTAAGCTTGTTCTATCTTAGCAAGGGCAAAAACTGCATGCAACAGGCCTGTGCCCTGCTTTAATGCAACATCAGGCCTGGCACAGGCACACCGCTTCACAGGGCTGTGATTTTACAATCTCTAAGCTTCTTTATCCCTCTTCCCTCACCTCCCACCCACCACAAGTAGGCTTAAGCATATGGGGGGAATGCACTTAAGTCTTTAACATCCTGTTATTTCTTTGAGTGAATTCAATTTCTCTTAGCTGAGAGAAAACAACCTAAAGCAAACACAAATACCTAAAATTTCCACACTGAATAATTTTAGGATCTCTCAGGGACAAGGTTGGCCTTTGAGGGAAAACAATTCTAGAAACAACTTTGTCGTCAGCAATCCATTTTTAACCTTGTCCTCCCAACACTTGCCCCATAGTGAAACACTTTTAATGTTGAATAGCAAATTAATAGCAATACCAAACCCAGCATACCCTGTACAGGTGTATCTGATTGCAATCTTAGAAAGCTTTTTCTAATATTTGTATAGAATTAGCCTTCCTTTCATTAACATCACTAAAATTACTTTCAAAGGAATCACTTACTGCTTTTCTGGACTGCTATTTTGTAAACAAACCCAGCAGAGGTACAACAGCCATAAAGAGCAGCATTCAAGAAAATGTTTGCCTACTGCACATCTGAAGCAGTACCTTCAGTTCTCGCCGCAGCTCCCCTCCTCTGCTCCCCAAGCACTGCGCGGGCAGAGGCCGAGAGCGTGTCCCGACAGTGTCCCGAGCGTGGAGCGGCGGCGCTCGGCCTCGCCCCGAACTCCAACTCCCAGCAGGCAGCGGGGCGCGCGCCCCCGGAAACGGACGGAGCCGTTTGTCCCTCGGCGGTTCCGGCGGTGGGCCGGGGGTCGTGCCGGGCCGGCGGGGCGGTGAGTGGAAGCGGCTGCTCTTCCTCCGGGCGCAGCGCGGGGAGCGCGGCGCGGCCGCAGCTGCAGCTGCTCGGGGGGATGTGGCAGCGCTCCCTGCAGTGGGCTGACCCCAGCCGGGGAGCCAGCCTGCGGCGGAGCTCGTGAAGCGATAATGTCAGGCCCGTGAGGCCACTCGGGCGCAGCTCGATGCCCGTGGGAAAGGCAGTGCCTCACCGCTTTATTCAGAACAGCCCGAGAGGCCTTTTCGGTTGCAGTGTCTATTTTGTGCGTAAAAAGCGGGAGTTGGCCACTGCGTTCAAGCGGGAGGTGTGTTACCCTGCCCGAGTATGGAAAAATAGCAAGAAAAGCATCATTTTGGCCATGTACAAGACTCATGAAATTCTATATCCACATTGAAACAATTAGATGTCGTAATTTTTAAGATCTCCCTAAAACCTCCTTCCCTAGAAGTGCTTCCTACTCCACTGGCTAAGTGCTTTTTAAAATTTAGGTAATCTATCTTTAGTTTTGCTACTTTGGAACGATGCTGGTGCAACAGATTGCTTCTGTGACCTACATAAAAATTTGGACCTAAAGCATGAGGTTTGATTCTCTAGTTTTAAGCATTCATCTCGTTACAGGCTGGTCTCGCATAACTCAGCAAAGTCGTGTGCAGTGTTTTGTAATTTGTCAGATGGTGATAGAAACATTAAGTACTGCAGTATATAAGAAAGTTTTAGTTTCTTGAACTCCAGTAACAATAAAATTCTTCTTTATATCGAACAAAGTTCTTATAGGCTAATTCTAGAGATATGGAAATTTTCCTCTCTTTGTATGTGAAGTTCTTTTCACTTATTTTTGATTAACAAAAGTGCTGAAGTGACTGTATGGTTACTTTTCTTAGAAATAAAATCTGATTAAAACTTTTAAGGTTCAGCATAGCATCTGGATCTGTCCAGGTATTGTTATTTTATTCTAAATTTTAGTGATGAAAAATATTGAAAGCAAGACTGACTTGTTGGAAACGGAACTTCCATTAATCCTTTTTGTTCTTTTAGGACAAAGTTCTATGGAGACTAGTTTATAATAGACGGATTTGCTGGTAGAAGAAAGGCATCACATAGGCAATAGTTTTGATGAAAAAATTAAGAGATATTTCGTGGAATGTCTGTGGATTGTGCTATGTCACTTCTGTCTTCTGTTGCAAGTCTTTTTAACATTGCTGTTAATAAGTCAATAGATTCCTAGATATTTTTGGATTCGCTAAGGATTTATATCATCTGAAGGGTATGACAGTGTGGGGGGGAAAGGCCATCCTAAGAACTTCATGTGCCTCCTTTTCATGTTGTTTCAGCATTCCTTAATTCTCTGGCCAACATTTAATTTTCTGCACTGGAAGACAAGAAAAAAACAGCAGTATCTTCATGTATTACTGTGATTAATACTCTAATTAATACTTTCCTAATCTCACTTTGTCATGTAGCTGATCTTTCTGGTGTCTTAAAAAAGAATTGTGTTTGGATTTATGAATATCATTCATAGGAATGTCTCTGTTTTAAAAAGTAATTTCTCTTAGGACAATGATTGAAAGAAGACTAAGAGATTGGCAGGTAATACTGAAATGGCTTCATAACCCCCAGCACCTCATTTTAGAGTCCCATACAGAATGTGAAGGATGTCATTCACCTACCAGTTGATGCCTTAAGCTTCGACATGACTTAAAATGAACAATCAATTTTAAAAAACCAAAAACCCACAAAACAAAAACAAAACAAAAACACCCCCCAAAAAACCCAACTGAATAAAACACCCCAAAAACAAAGACACAGAAGAAACCCCATCAGATCCTCCCACATCCACTTGGAAATATGTCCTTAGCCCAAAGATTGCTGAAAACAGTCTAGAACTTTAAAAGCTCATGCATTATGCATGCATTAAATACAATTGGAGCTAGCTACTGCATAACCAAATAAGCCATATTTTGTGCATGGATTAAAAATGGCATAATGTTAAACTTGACGGTTTTGATTGTCCTCTGAGGAATTCAGTTGAGATAGGAACATTTACAGTAATACATGACTCAGTCATTCCAGTGAATCTGTCATTACTTTAGCCATCATTTTGTATGATGTTTTGTCATTCATTCTAGTCTCACAGTTTAAATTGTAGATGGAGAATCATTTGAATTTTGTCTTTCCTAGTTAAGCCATGCCTGTTTCAGCTGATGAAACTGTGGGGAGCCTGGCTGTGAGAGATACAGTCCTTACTCCAGCTGGAATTGAAGGATTACAAGGTTTGTACCAGATGCTATTTATTGAAATTGCAGACTTTGCTCAGTGGCTTCCTTAGCTTCTTTCTAAAAATGTTTCACAAAATGAAGATCAAAATCTGGGTTAAATTTTGAAAGGTACGGTGACTCATTCTGTGTTCAAGTAGGTTGTTGTAAAGAGGAGTTGCTGTGAGATGCTAAATACTGGAAAACTCATCAAACTATAATGTTCCTCCTTCCAGAAGGAAAGAGAATGCTTTTTTGCAGAACTGAGGACAAGGTCAGATCCATTTAAGAAAATGGGAGCCAAAAGTACTGTGCAATTCTTTTATATTACTCAGCTGCTATTAGAATGAGACTGCTGGGCTTAGTCTTGTATTTGAGTTCGTTTTCACAACTGTGAGTTAATTCTTTCAAGCTTCAAGAGAGTATGTTCACTTTGAAACATTAGAAAACATCTCAATGGTAATGTTCATCCTATCTTTTAATTATGTTTGACCATTCCTAGTTGCTTGCTAAATTGTTATATTTGCATTGCCTGGTAAGTAATCAGTTTGCTGCATCATTTGAACTATGGATTTTTTAGTCTCTTAGAGAAAGGAAAAAGGAAGTGATTAACCTGCCCATAAGTCTGAGGAAAGTATTCAGTAGACTGAAACAAGTGTAAAATACATTTTACTTGAAAATTTTTGTTAATTTTTTTCAGAATTTCAAAGTGATTTAGACTTTGAGTTATGTTGTTATTGAATGTATTGAAGGTAATTTAAAATTGCCTTGGTTTGTGTAGAATCATCATCTACACAGAATGTAAAAGCTCGACAAGTCATATCAAGAATCAGTCGAGAGGAACTGGAAGACAGATTTCTTCGTCTACGTGATGACCATATCCTACTCAAACAGTATGCCAATAAGCAAGAGGAGAAAATTAAAAGGTATGGGGTTTAATATTTTTATTTTAACTCACAGTACCTTTTTGTCTCTTTAAAGCATCATCAACAAATTTAAAATCGCACTGATTTCTCTCAGAGCACTTTTTAATACAGTACCAAAAATCACCCACTGGACATGATTTTTGTATTGATTTCTACAGTCTGTTGTCTCTGAGTATGTGAGTTGGTTTTTTTCTATGCCTGTTAGATCTCCCTGTACAGAGGTACACTGCTGTTTACTACATCAGAGATGATACCTTGGATTGCCAGCTGTGCTGGTGGAGTGTTCTGGGAATTGGAGAGCAGGCTGTAGAAGCCTAATGGTTCTTCACGCTTTTCATTCTAGAATCAGAATGGTCTATCCAGAGAGATTCTGCCCCTTTTTTGTCCCAGTCTGTCTTTCAAGAAGTTGAATAGCATTTAGCTTTTTATTGCTGAATTAGCACTAAAATGTCTTTATAATCATCACTCCTTCATTCAGTAGATAGCTGTCACTTTATGTCACAGTACAAGCTGGCTTGTACTGGGCAGTTAATTTGGCTATAAATAAGAAGCCCTGCCGGCTCCATAAACCTGGCCCCTGGGTTGACTGACAGGAACCTCAGCCAATACGTTCCATCCTAAGCTGCAGACGTCTTGCTGGTCCAGGAGCTTGGGCGGTGTCAAAGATCAGACCAATGAGCTATCCAGACTGGGTTTTTCAAACCCCTTTATAAAGAGGGGCTTGGGGAATAAACACACTCTTTTGCTACATGGACGTCAGGGTGTGTGTTGTCCCTGTCTCCAGCCACTGACACCATGAAACATGTGCATATTAAACGTAATAGACAACTCCAGGGAAGAAGTCCCAAATAGCATGGGGAGCACAGTACCCAGTTTACCCACAAATATACAAGCAACTTTAGGCTGATTATTAAACTCAGTATGCTAGGATTTGTGTGCTAATCTTTGCCAGGACTTAGTGTGGTGGCAAACTGATCTGGACTGTGAAGAGCTGTTTGTAGCATTACGATATTGCAGAAAGGCTGAATGCTGTGACTCTGTGTTTGCATTGTGCTAATTGTTAACAAAGTCTTTCTGCATCTAAGCCAGTTTCTGGTGAGGAGCTGTCGCCAGCCGGGGGCTATGTACAAATCACAGACAGGACGGGACCGCTAGGAACATGTCTTGAGCTGTTTTATTTTCCAGTATCAGTCTCCTTACATGGTTGTGACAATGGGAAGATGCCATCAGCTCACATCCCAGGCAGCAGACCAAGAACTTAGTGTTACAACATACTTTAAAACTTTTTTGACCAATGACACTAAGCAAAAGCATATTGACAGTAGTTCCATCCAACCACTATAAGCACATGTAGCTTCGGTTAAAACAATGCTTGCTTATTTCAAATACAATACCTGCTTGTAAGCCTTAAAACACAATGCGCAGACCATCATTATTAAGCTTAGAACTTCCAAATATCTCGCTAGATACACTTTTCTGCAACTTAGGGAGTTATTCTAGACAAGCATTAATACACAGACCATTGTTCTGTTCGTCCTTTTCTACTTCTTACGTAATTTTTCTGTTGACCAAACTTATGGCGACTGCTTAGCTCTAATCATAGTTCTGCTGTCTCTGATGCCTGCTTTTTGCAGCTTTCCCAAAACCCTCTGATTTTATGGATTCCCACAAGGAGCTAATGAATTAATCAAAGGGTAGTTGAAAATAGTGCCTATTTCATACTTTAAAATACAAAACATTATTTTATTT